ATCAGGACTATTTGCAGGCAGCGAAGTGGGCGAGGCATGGGCTGCTCCTGTTTTTTTTTTTTGGGGGGGGGGGAGGGGGCCTGTGTTCCTGTCCTGTCCCTCCTGCCCCCCCTTCTTCCCCCCCCTCCCCCCTCCTGCCTCTCCCCTTCTTCCTCCCGCCCGCCCGCGAGGGCACGCTCGCCTCCCCGCGTGTTTTGGTGCTTGGGATAGGGTGGCCCTGCGTGGCTTTGCTCGCAAGCACGCTTGTCTCACGTCGTGCATGCGCCGCGGTTGCGCGTGCCTGTGCTGCAACACATTGCTTAGGCATACTGCACGCATGCCGAAACATCTTTACAGTCCCACTGTGCTGCAAGGGAGGCTCACTTAAACCCACATGGCACATTGGGGTGCTGTGCTATTAGTCATACGACGCTGGCTCCTCGCGTGCGCGCTCGCACCGGGGTGCTTTTGTTAAGATTTGCACATATGGGATCTCGCGTTGCATGCGTCGCTTTGGCCAGGTAGCGGGGGGGCGGCTGTCCATCGGCGTCCCTGGGGGGAACTTCGAGGGGGAGCGACGTCCGCACTTGGTCCTCGCCAGCTCTTCCTGCCTCCCTCCCCGCTCCTCTCCTGCTTGGCCTGGGGCCCCCGCTCCTTTTCCCTGGGTGCGGGATTTTATAGTGTTTGAACCGGGGCTAAACCTGGAAGAGCATAACCTAGGGAGGTTGCCCTCTTCTAGGTTTGTGCCCCCCCCCCAAAGATGGGCGACCGAACGTCTGAGAGCTTTCCTCGCGTTTCCGGGGCGCTTCATTTGGAGCTTGGCGCTTTACCCCAACCATCCTCTGCCGGGGGGCTGTCCGCTGGTGTCCGTCTGTCGCCAGTGGGGGGCGTCGTCTGGAGCTTCCCGTGACGTTCCTCTCTCTTCCTGCCTCCTTCCCTTCGGCCCTCCTCCCCCCCGCCCCTGTTCGTCCTTGCCCACTCTCGTGCCCCCCGCCCTGGTCCTCTTCGCGCCTGGTCTTCCTGCTGCCTTTTCCAGCCAGGGGGGGGGGGGTCGCGGCCGCAGCTATGGCCGAGGAGGGAGACAGTGACGAGGCCCCCTTGGCGGCGCCCCCTGCCATCAAGCGTTGCCGCCCCGCCCCGGTTCGGCAGCGGCCCGAGCAGCAGCCGTCGGAAGCCTGGCTGTATGATGTAGTCGGCGAGCCGGGCTACTACGACTTCACGCCGCGGCAGCAGGTGTTGCGAGCGTTTGCGGAGCTGTTCGCGGTCCGCGGTCAGTATATGCACCGCCAGGATTACAGTGCCCTGGCCGCTCAACACCTCTGCTCGAGACAGACATGTTCTTAGATCGTGGATTTTCGAACCTCCAGGTCCTCACCGCGGCACAGCTCTCCGACGAATTTGTGACTGAATGCAGCCAGGTTCAGGATCATATTATGAAGAGCTTTCATGCCAGGGAGCGCTGGGTATTTTCTTACATCCTCGCCGTTTGTTGCACGCTAGCAGCGTCGCAGATTATCTTAGAGAACATTTCAAATTTGAGGCGGTTGCGAAATCCACAGGAAATCCTTGCCCAAGTGGCCATGAAGCTACAACGTCCTCGGGGCATGTTCGCGCAGCATTTAGTGCACAGCAAGGCGCGCCGGAATGATATTAAAGATTTGACCAAGGAGGCTGCGATGAGGCATTTGCGGTTTAATTCGTTTTTCGCCGCCGACATTCTGGGGCACTTCCCGTTGAGGGATCCAGACAATACCACGAGGTTGAAGTGTGACCTGATGGCGCAGCTCCATAATATCTCCGCGCCGTCGTTAGGTTTTTTTCGCCAAAAAAGAATGCTTGGCGCATTTCTACCAGACACAGCTCCTCCTTGTCGCCTGCGGGGTCTAGATCACTCCACAGTGATTGGAACCGCCGCATGATGGTGGGACCCAGCGCAAGGAGGCTCCTCAACTAATTTTTCGGCCCCCCAAAGAAATTTCTAGATTCGCCGAATTCTGTGGGCGCCCGCGATTTCTATTCTGGGCTCCTGAGGCAGGCCTGGCTGGCTTACCGGACCGTTGCAGGCTCGCTCCTGGTGAAGCTGCGCCAGAATGGTGCTGGCGCAGAGGCCGCCGCGCTAGAAGCGCATTACAAGCGCACGCAGACGGTCGACGAATTCCAGGGGCATGCGTGCGAGTTCTCTAAGATTCTTCGCCTTTTCCCGGTGGCGGAGATTCGGCGGTAGGCGCAGCTGGCCAGACCGGCCCCAGTGCTTCGGTGACCGCGGGCAGCGAGTGCTCGATAATGCATGTGCTGCGCTCCCGTGCCCCTTGCGTGCTCTCCTTGTTGTACTTGTTGTTTCTGCTATTATTCTGCTACCTCCTTGCGCTACACAGCCATGGCCTTCGTGTCTTGTGCCCTTGCTCTCATCCATGTGCAGAGCTTGTCATCCCTTGGTCTCGTCCTGTGCGCGCTCATTTGCCTTTATTTTTTTGTTCTCTCTCTCTCTCTCTGGATGCACTCACAGCGTTAAACTGGCCGGGCAAAAGCCTGGAAGTCGAGAGCCCTGGGGGGGTGTTGTCTCCCAGGTTCCTCTTGCTGTTGTTTTAGTCTTTGTAATGCCGCAGTGCGTCAGGAAATCCAGCCTTCTTCATGTGGTTGATTTGTGTCAGCCTGCTTCCTTGACTCGCGACGCCTTACACTTCGGCCTCGCGGCTTCCTCGGCCCGCCCCCGTGGGCTGCCGGCCCTGGCCCGGTGCCGCCGCCGCGTGCTGTGCCTTGCGCCGTGCCTCGCGGTGCGGTGCGGTTTCCGTGCTTGGGCTGCCGTGCCGCGCCGCGCCTCGTCCGTCGAGCCTCTGGTCTACGCCTCGCCGGGCCGCGCCGCGTCCTGGGCGCCCCTCCTGCGGTGTCTTCCTCGCTGCCGTGTCCTCGACGTCTTACCTCGTCTTGCGTTCTAGCATGCCACCGTTCGTCTGTCGGGCAGCCCGCGGTTGTCCCGGGAGGGGGCGGGCTTCGACGTTGCCGTCGTCGGGGCAATAGAACTTTATATGTCGCTTAGCACTGCAATGTCTCGTCTTTCCACCCTGCCTTGCCTTCTTGCCCCAGCTGTTTTTTTTCAGTGGTTTCTCGGCTTAGGCCGCGAAAGCAAGCTGCGCGCTGGGTGGCGCTGCTCTTTAACTTTCGTTAGGTCCTGGTGAAGGCCGCGCCAGCGGCGCGCTGGCCTCGCTTGGGGGCCCGAGTGCTATTGTCGTCCGTGCGGTGACCGCACCGAACCATGGGGCACGGTTGCGACCCGCACGCTGAGGCCAGCCGCATAGTTAGGGTGTGTTGGCTTCACATGTTTGGGACCATTTGTAACGCTGTATGCCTCCATACTGGATATGCTTGCATTCGTGTTTGGCAAAAGCGCGGCCCGGCATGGGGGCCGCGCCGTGCCTGGCTCCTGCCGTGCCGTGTCGCTTTTGCCTCTTCACGGATTCTAAGCGACTGCTTGGGCCCCCGGCCGTCTGCAGGGTTGCCCGCGGCTGACCCGAGAGGGGGCGGGCGTCGCGGTCGCCGTCGTCGTCGCCGTCGTCGGCCAGGATTCACGCTTGCATCGCGTGCGCTTCGCAATGTGTTCTGGCATGAGCGTGCCTTGCCTCCTCTAGTGTCGTCTTGTTCCAGCTCCTGCGTGCCATTTATCCACTTCCCCGTGATTGCCCTTGCTGCCCGCTGTCCACCGGCGCGCCCCGAGCGTGGCCGGTGGGGAGGGGGTGTCGCCTGCTACGCTCTCCGCTTTCATGCGTGCCAAGGGTGTCTGTCCGCGCCGTGTTTTTTCGCCCGACCCGTCGCGCTTTGGCTCCGAGGCCCCGCGTGCGAGACGAGCGGCTGCCCTGCCTGCCCCGCTGCCCCCCGCCCGCGGCCATGCCGTCCACTGAGCGAGCCCCCAACCGGGACCGCAAACGTCACGGAGACCGCGACCGCGACAGAGATCGGGATCGCTCACGTGATCGCGACCGCGACAGGGACCGGCGCAGGGGCCGCGCCATCAGCAGCCGCAGCAGCCGCGAGCGCCATCGTAGGCGCCGCCCCAGCCCGCAATCATCTGAGCCGACCCCATCCAGGTCTGATGAGTGTAGCCCGACGCCTGTGGCAAGCAGCCAGCCGCGCGGCCCGTCGGTTGAACTCAGCGCGGCGCTCGGAGCATTGATCCCGTCGCAGCCTGCCACCCCATGCCCTTTCCTGGCCGAACCGCCTCCCGGCGATTGGAGCTCCTTCCCGGGGGCGTCGGCGAAGGGCCGCGCGGCCCTGTCCCCGGCTGCGGCGGGGCCTACTGTGCTTAGCCCGTCGCGCAGGCCACCGGCAGGCTGGATCGGCGCGGCGCCAGTGTCGCCGCCGCCGCGGCCGCCCCCGCCGGCTCCATCGCCCCCGGCTGGCGCGGGCCTATCAACGCCAAGGCGGGGCAATGCCGCGACCGTGGAGCGGTCGCCTGGCCCGCCAGACGCGTCTCCTCCGCCGCCGCCGCCGGGGTGGGAGTCTCGTCGCGCGCCGTCCGGGGCTTTGTTTTTCCAGAACAGGCGCACGGGGGAGAGCCGTTGGGGCCACCCGGGCCTTAGTCAGGTAGTTCCCGCCGCGGCCCCCGCTGTCCTTGTCCGCGATTCTACCGCCGCGGCTGTCGCCCAGCCGTTCTCGGCCCCCCCGGAGGGCACGGCGCCGGAGACCCAGGCCGCGGCGCAGCATGCGGCGCGCGCGGCGGCAAGCCCCGGGCCGCCAACGGCTGACCCGCTTCGCTCGCTCCGCCAAGAGCTGGGGGCTCTCACGGCCGAGCGCCCGGCCTGGGTGGAGTTCCGCTCCCCCGGCGGAGGTGGGGCCTTCTGGCTCCACAGTGCCACCCAGCAGGTGGCGCGTATATAGCAGGCCCCCTGAGGTCGAGTCCTGGCTCTCCCGCGTTGCCCGCCTGAATCAGCAGCTCGCTAGCTTCTCGCGGCCCGCCGGCCAGCGGCCAGCCGGGGCTCCAGTCGATCCCGGCACTGCAGGCCCGCAGCTGGAGGCTGTCGCAGGCCCTGCAGTCGCGCCGCTTGCTACCTCCCCCCCTGCCGATGAGGCATCCATGCGTGCAGCCATCGAAGCCCAGGCTCAGAGCCAGGCGGCTGGGCCCGGGGCCCGCAGCTCCAGTAGCCGGCCCTCTAGTTGCGCAGCCTGCTGCCCAGCCCGCTGCCATCCTAGCCCATGTCCGGAGCCAAGCGGCGGCCGCCGCGGCCCCGGCGCCGGTTCTCGGTCTGCCCCCAGTCGCTGGCGGCGCTGGCATGCCGCAACCCGTGCGCCTCGTTAGGTTAACACCAGAGCCGAGCACGAGCAGGCAGTCTCAAGCTGGCTTATGCGGGTGCGGCAGATCGTAGGAAGCAACAAGGACCCGAGGATGAACCTCACTTCCCACTTTGCTTCCAACCTCTCTTCGCAGGTGGACCTCCACAATGTGGCGCAAGCTATGGGCGTCCGTATAGTCCATGGCTCGCGCCGCGGTGGTGCCACCTACAGCGGCGCCCCGCCTTTTGCGTTCGCTACGGGGGGCCCGAACCAACCGTCTCTGGAAGTCACCGCGGCGTTGTCGCCCAAGCAGAAGTTTCATATTCAGCTTGTCAACAAGAGGTTTGGCACTGTAGTTGTGCGCGGGGGCCAGGCCACCCTTGACACTTGGATCGAGGAGCTGACTTTGTTTCTGGGTCCAGTGGTCGACCTCCAGTCACCGGCCCCGCCGGCCTCTAGTGCTAATTTGTTGCGCGAGCCGGCGCCGAAGAGGTCGGCGCGCCAGATTCTCGCTGACGCGGAGGAGGCCATCCAAAGGGGCATTGGCAATCTCGGCTGAACGTCGCGGGCGCACGGCCGCCCGCAAGGCTCGAGCGGGCCACTAGGTAACCTCATTAGGGCATCCCGCTGCATGCCCTGCGTCGTTGCCGCCCCAGGAAGCCATATGTCATATGAACCATATTGGTTGAGGCGTAGCGGAAAGCAAGGAGTGCGCTACTGCCTCTCCGCCGGCGCCCTGTGCCCTCGGGGTCTCTGCGAGCGCATGCTATCATACTGTTGGGGCAGAGATGTCAGCAATGCACTTCGGTCTCAGTTGGGCAGGGTGGAAGGTTGCTAGGTCTGTGCATCGTTGCATATGTTGTCTATGCTCTTGATTTGCACGTGCGTGCACCTGCCCCGGCGTGCCTGAGTGATGTGGATGCTGGACGCAGGGTCATGACGTGATGGGCCATTCCTGCTCGCATGTGTCCCCGTGCTTGCCCGTCCGTGCGCGCGCGCTTGTGCTGCCCGTTGTACTCCACGCGCGCGTGTGCTCTTCCTCCGCGCGCCGCCCTGTCACCGCCGTCGCTGATGCCTGCCGCCGACGTCCAATTGCTTGCCACTGGGGCCTGCGCTGCTTGGGGGTACCATGGGTGTGAATGAGTGCGGTGGCCAGGCGAGAGGGCTCAAGTTCTGCCGGACACCCCTTCGGAATCGCGCCCGGCCGCCCGGGGCCGAGTTTGCAGCCAGAGCAGGCGCGCTGCCAGCTATGAAGGCCAGAGGGCTTGCGTGCCCAATGGCACCACTCCCCGATCTTGTATTGCGGTGGCTGGGGGCAGAGAGCCGTAGCCTGGACTTGTCAGCATGTGCGAAAGATTGCGGAGCTCTCTTGGACATCTGCCCTTCTCTCCCATCCCCTCTCCTGCTGGGATGCGGCGGCGCGGCTGCCCCGTTGGCTGCCTTGGTCCACGCGCTCTCGTCGTTAGTGCGCAGGGAGGGGACGCCCTCGCTTGAGCGCCTTGTTTTGTCTCGGCCGCCGCGCCCTGTGGTCTCGCCATGCGCTGGGGGCCTCTGTGCTGGGGTTTGCCAGCAGCCGCCTGGCCCTGCCCAGCTTGGGTCCCGAGATGCTGTCTGCGTGGCCGTCCTTAGACCGGGGCGCCTAGGCTTCCTTGCTCTGGGTACTGATGCGATGCTAGAGTGGCGCTTACACGCCGTCGCCCAAGTTCTGTCCGACTCCCGCGCCGACATCTGTGCGATGCCAGGCGCGCGCATGCCGCCCGGGGCAGTGTTGCCTCCTGGCTTCCCGTATACGTGGATGGGGCCACGCTCTGTGTCCTGGGGCGCGGTGGGTGTTTTTGCGCGGTGCGAGTTGGCCCAGCTCCCCCGCCCTGTCCCCGAGCTTTCTTCTGATCGCGTGCAGTGGTTTGAGTTTTGGGGTGGCGCCTTTGTTCCGGGGGAGGCCCGCGGCCCGTGCTTCGCGTTCTGCGCGTGCTACCCAGCCCCGGGCGGGGACGTTGCAACGTGGAGCGGCATTATCTCTTCAGTGTCCTCGATGCGCGCGCGCCACCCGGGCGCGCGCGTTCTTATTTGCGGAGACGGCAATGTTCACTTGTCATACGTGTTGGAACACCCCCATGAATGCACTTGCCTGCATTGCCGCCAGCCGGCCTCGGATCGCACGATAGAAGCCATGATTTCCGCGGCTGGCCTCGTGGCGTGCAACCCCCGAGTTCCGACGCATGACTCTGGCACGTGCATTGACCTCGTCCTTACTGATGAGCATTCAATTCTTCCCGTCTCGGTTGCCCATGCGAGCGGGGCTGACTCCGCCCATCGCTTAGTGGCGTGCTCTGTGCCTTGCTCGTTTCGCATGCCACACCTCGCGGGCCTGTCCAGCGTTGGCTGGCGCACGGATAGCCAGTGGGATGACGCGCTGCTCGCTGTCGCGCCGGTTCTGGCTGCATTGGCTGATGCGGGTGAAAGCTTCATTGCGTGCACTTGGTTGCGCCCGCCATGGAGTGGCGGCGGCGCCTCCAGACGGGAACGCCGCATGCTCTTAGACGCCGCCGCATGGGCGCGGGACGTTGTCTACACGCTGGCAGGGTTCGCGGCGGGGGCCACTAAGGCGTCCGCGGCGGCCCCCGCGTGCGCCCCGCGACCCCCCCTCGACCCGAACGCGTGCGAGTCACAAGCTGCGTTTAAGAGGGCGGTGGCGCTGGCTTCCTGGGCGGAGCGCCATCAAGCGTTCTTGCGCTACTTGAACCTCCGTGCCCGCAGCCCCGGCTTGGCCGAGCGCTTTCTATCCGGGGTTTTTCGGTCGCGCAACGCTTTTCAAATTGCTTTGGTCGATCCGGTCGACGGGCGTTCCCTCGACGTCGAGGAAATGCTTGCTGCTCTGCGGTCGGACCTGGTTGACCGCGTGCACAATGATTTTGCTGTTGACCAGTTGGAGCAGCGGGCGCATGCTCTCGCTGTCTCGGCAATTCGCGCGGAGGGCGCGAGCTCCGGCCAACCCGCTCCGCGCCTCTATTCGGCTTCGGAGGTCGACGCCGTACTGGACAACTTCAAAACTACATTCTCGGCGCTCCGAGGCTGCTATGCGGCGGTCCGCTCTGTCGTCCCAGAGGGCCGCCGGGTCACGAGGGCCCTGGCCAATCTGTCCAGACATTGCACCATCACCAGCACTTTGTGGTCTAGCACAATGCCGCGCAGCATGTCATGGCGTGGCGCCGGTTCCTTGGAGGGGAAATCGGTCGTCTTCGAAGGGACTGGGCGGGTGGAATCACGGCTCCATGTTTAGATCCCTGGGCTGCCCGGAAAGCTTCCCGCAAGGCGGGGCTGATGAAGAGCACCCGCTGGTTCTGCTGACGACGTCGCCTCCTCGAAGCAGAAACGGGGCTCCCGCTTGGTATTTCCTGAAAACAACGACGCCCCAGAGTGGCGGGGGGGGGCATCTGCGGCCCGAAGCATCGACGAATCGACGCAGAATTTGCAATCGCTTCGCGCGATCTTTCGGGGGGGCACTCTGTAGATTTTGGGCCTAATTGGAAGGGTCGAAAACCATGCCGTGGCATGGCGTTGGCAATAATGGCGCCGGCGCGCGGAAGCGCGGAAATGAGGCCGGCGCCGCAGCGGAAGCGCAAATCGGGACTGAGGCCAGTGCGTCGGCGAGAACCGCATTTTTTCTTGAAACAACCGCGCGAAAACCCGTGTCCCAGGAATCCTGCGAGTAAAAGGCCAGCGCGCAAAGGGGGCCGGATATTTCCTGGACGTCGCCAGAGGAGAGATGGGGGTGCTATTCGTATCGCGTCAGTGTGGAGGGCGACGCTGAGGGGGAGGTGGGGAAAGAGGAGGAGGAGGAGGAGAGGGATGATAAGGGGGTGGGGGAGGAGGAGGGCAAGTGGGCAGAACAGAGGGCGGGGGGGGGGTCCGCCAGGGCGAGGAGGACAGGGTTAAGGGCATGCTTAACATATTATCATGCTGGGTCCTACCGTGGGAGTATTTGTTTTCATCGTGATGCGCGCAGAAGCCCGAGGGCCTGCATCGACTCCCCCTCGCGTTGCCGCCGACGGACCCCGACGCTGGCGCCGACCAAGTCGCCCTGCGGGGCGGCGCGCCGATCGGGGGCCAGGTCTTCACCGGGCCGCCGTCATTGGGCGACGGGCTACAAAAGGTGGAGCCGACTCTGGCGGCGCTGGAGACCTCCTAGAGACGGGCGACGCGATCCTGGATTTTCACGGCAAGTTTACCTGCGCGGCGAGGACGGGGGACGGGGGCTCCGTCGTGCGCCATTTTCAGGCACGGAAGTGCTGCGGCGAGAGCGTCTCGCGAATCTTGTTCAGCTCTTCGGGGGGGGTCGCAGTCGAGGGCGCGGGGCCGAGCGAACTCCCGCTGAAGCAGGCCGCCATCAGGAGTCGGATTCGTCCTGGGTGGTGTTTTACTTTGGGAACAGCGCCAGTGGGCCGACTGGGGCTGTTTGCGCAGAGGTCACGAGACCGCGCGAAACCGAATTCCGAAGGCATGGGCCGAGCACGCGGCAGCAACGTTTGCGCGCCTCGCGCGAGAGAATGCGCCAGAAGGACCTTCGCCGTCGATGCTGTTTTAGTTTTGAAGTCATCGCTTGCCGCTCCATATGTTGCTGGTCGCCTCGATTGAATTTTCGTTGTCAGCGACGTCTTGGCCGCCGGCTGGTTGACGGCCGCCTCTTTGTCGGTGTCTTCTCCTCTGCTGTTCGCTGCCGATGGTCGCCGTTCCGCGTTTCGCGCGGCGGGGTCTCCTATGTGCGCGGCGGCTTCTATCCGTCATTGGTGCCGGGGGGCGGCCTTTCTCAGCCCGCTGGGTTTGCGACCGTGCCCTGGAGGGTCGCGCGGCGCTGCTCTCCCAGACGCGCGGTGCCTTGACTTTGTTCGGCGCGGGCTCCGCGGAGATCCCGACCTTCCCCCCGGCGCCCGCTTTTCGCCCCGAGTCGCTCGTTGACGGCGCAGGGCCCCGGCGAGGGCCCCTCGGGGCCGTGCGCGACGCAAAAGCGCCCGCGCCAAGTCTTCATGTCATGCGCGGCGGCAGCGTCGGGCCAGCCGCGCGCCGGGGCGGGCCGAGCCTTCAGCTCCCGCAGCGCGGGCGCCCATGTTTGTCCGCGGGCGTGGGGGGCGGGGCGGCGGGCGCCCCCGCGCGGGTTGGCCCCCCGCCCGGAAGATGTCTCTCGCTCTTTTGCCCGAGACGGCCGCCGCCCTCGTCCTCGAGGGCATCTCCTGCAGCGCCCTCGCCGCCTGAGGTCCCGCGGGCCCGCCTCCCGCAATGGCGGGGCGGCGCCCGGCTGCTAGCCCGCCCCCCCCCCCCCCCCATTGTCCCCGTCGATCTGCGGGCGTTCGCGCGGCTGCGACGCACCCCCCCGGAACTCGGCCGCGCGTGGAGGGGGCGCGGGGGGGGTCTTCCTGGAAATGCACCCGCTTCCTAGAAGGCGCGGGCCTTGTCTGCGCGCGTGGGGCTGGCGCCTTCTAAGAAGCAGCCTCCTTCTAAGATGCCCCCCCCCCCCCCCCGCCCCCCTGCGCGCGCTGCCGCCGAGGGGCGCTGGGCAAGCGATTTTTCGCCAGCTTGCCCGAGAGCTGGCCTGGCGCCCCGAGCGCGTTCGCCCTTCCAGCGGCAGCGGCAGCGGTAGCGGTTGGCCCGGGCTTGGTTGGAGGAGCTTCCAGGGAGCTGGCCCACAATGCCTCGCGGAGCTCTT